AGGAGATGGTTTGGGCCTTATATTGTCAAACAAGTATATGACAATGGAATATAATTGTTACAAGAACTTGATGGTATAGAATTAAAGATACCTATAGTAGGTAAGAAAATCAAGTTATTTAAACAAAAAAGTAAATACATTTGTTTTGATGAATAATAAAATCCATTACAAGATATTGACATGAGAGAAGAAGAATAAATTGAAGATCAAGAATTTGACCAAGAAAAAGAACACTTTATATCAATGTAATTAAAAAAACTTAGTACATGTTCAAAGATGCATAGGTTTAGGGGGAGGATGGATGTTAAAATATAGTATAGTTAATGAATGAAAGAAAAAAATATTATATCATAAAAGATCTTATTTTAAAATATTATAGAAAAAATTACCTCAAGAAGCTAAGAATTGATACCCAAAGAAGACCAGTTGACAACCTAGGTCGAAATTAGACCCTAAGGTACAAAACTATATACCTGTGGTAACTCCAAGGTTCTTTAGAAAATCAAAGAGTGAGATTTGAGAGCAGACTTGATAGAATTTTTATAAGAATTAATTTTGTATGATTTTGATTTGTAATAACTTTATAAAAGCTTTACAAAGTCAAGGTTGTTTTGAATGATTTGGATTTTTGTGAAATAAAATAGGATTGACGTTTTAGAAATTTTTAGGAATTTTGTAGTAGATCTATGAATATAATTTTGTAGATTGGTAGATATAATTGTGCTTGATGTATGTTGTGAATTAAAATTCAATCAAATAATTAGATTGAAGTATATAAAAGTTTTTGTAGATTGAAGTCTTAAAAGTTAGAATTTGAGTGTCAATGAGTATTTTTAAGATGTTTAGAAATTTGTTCATTGGATTGAAGTTAAAGTTTTTTACTTGGAGAAAAGACTTTATTTTTAAAAATTTAAGTAAATTTTGGGAGAAAATAAATAATTCAAATAGGAAATATTGGTATTAGAAGTTCAACTTTCAGATTGGAATAGGAGGCTGACCAATTCCCTAGAGGATTTTAGGATTTTTCTTTGATTTGGTAAGTATAATTATTTTTAAATTTATTGTACTTGTTTTTAAATAAGATGTTGAAAGGTCTATAATTTTTTAAGTAAGATCAATAGTTTAATCATGAGATATAGGGATTCTAATGTACCTTAGAATTTGTCTAAGGTTTGGTTTAAGATTTAAGGTTTATTTAGGATTTGATTTAGAATTTAGAATTTATTTAGGATTTGGTTTAGAATTTAAGATTTATCTAGGATTTGATTTAGGATTAGGATATGATTTGGGATTTAATTTAAGATTATTAGGATTTCAATTAAGATTAAAATAAGATTTTGATTAAGATTTATTTAAGATTTCTTTAAAAAAAATTTATGTCTTTTGTAATTTCTTTAAGATTCTTTTTGGATTTGATTAAAGCTTAATTAAAATTATTAAAATTTAATTGGAATTTATTTAAGATTCTATTAGAATTTTTAAGATCTTATTGTTACAAATTTTCTTCTACCTTCTACAAGTAGGTATCTTGTGCATTCTCAAGCAAGACTTCAAGTAATACGATAACAAGTCTTGCAAAGTCAACATGTTTTGGAAGTCCTATAGGACACCACGATATAACTCCTAGTTAAGAATATATACAGAGGTAAGAATGAAGTCTTTTTTATTCTTGTCAATGCCTTTCTAGTCCTTAATCTTATTTCAAGACTTTTTAGTCTTCTTATCTTTGGCAATACCTATTTTAGTTTAATACAATATCATCTCTAAGTGACTTTTTAGTTCTTTTGAGTGATAGGAGAGTGTATTTAAGATTTTGTCATGTCCTTCACACTATGTTCCTACTTTGGAGCAACTCGCAAATATCTTCATTAAGTTCTTAGGTCAATTCCTATTTAAGAGATTTCAAAATGCATCCAATGTAGTTAATATCAATAGCCTAGTTAAGAAGATTTAGATTTATAGCTTCTCTCTCTTAATATATAATCCATTCTCATCATGACAACTACTATGTACAATGATTCTTTTCTATGGGGATTATTTCTCACCTTCATTTGAACATTACTCTCCTTACTCAAGGCACTCATGGATTATCTACTTGCTAGAGTGGACACTCAAAGCATTTGTCTCTGAAATTTGAATTCCGATTTAGATCCAAATCCCTTTGCTAGAGCTTTAATTCATTCATTATGTACTTCAGGGAAATTTAGGTTCTATGTGGTCAAGGTTGGAAGATGACTTGGAATCTACTCTTTGCGATATGAGTACAAACCTCTTGTCAAGTGTTTCAAGGGCACACTATACAAGGGTTTTTCTTCATTAAGAGATGCAGAGAAATATTATCTCAGTTAGTGTGTATATTTAAAATCTTGACAGAGCACATAGGAAGTTCAAAAGGGTGTTGAACATCGCTCCTGTGTTCCCATAAATGTTCCCTATAAATGGAACGTAGACATGTACCGTATTTATGTAATTGTTAGAACATAATAAACAGTTGAGTATTGAGCCTGTAGTGGCTTGCACTGTGCAGATGAGATTGTGCTTACTCTGATGACTTGTGTTCACTGTGGTTAATTCAGCGTATCAGATTCTCCTTCCTTCCCCACGTACACGAACCTCTTGAACAGCTTCAGAAGCTCCTGAGCATGCAGCCACAGAACCTCCATCTTGAACCGGCGCGCTTGGCACGTCCCCATCAGCTGGTTGAACACCACGCGAGAATCGCCGTAGCATCGAAGGTGGAACACCTTCCAACCGATCGCCAGCCGAAGACCACCCAACGGTCCCACGTACTCGGCCACGTTCATTCTTTGGGGGCCAATGTAGGCTGCGAACTCGGCCACGGGATGTTCCTTGCGGTTCATGAGAACGGCTCCCGATCCCGCATGGGCCGATGCCGTCACCGACGCACCGTCGCTGTACAGAAGCCATGGTGATTCTCTAGACCCCCTCACTTCACCGGATGCAGGTACTTTCCTGATCCGGATGGGTATGTCGGTGTTTCCAGATTCTCCGTCCTTCCCATATTGCATCCTCGACGAGGCCACATGAGCGTGAGGGTTAGCTTTGGCGGTACTTAGCTTCGCCTGGTTCTTATTCGACGCTTGCTTGTCTCCAACGTTGATGTCTTCACTGCTCTCTTCAATCAACACAAGTTTGCGTATATTCGATATCCAACCTATCGGATCATCGGTATTGCCAGATGGGTCCTTTTGCTTCTGGTTCAGACCTGTTCGTTTTTTTCGTCTTCCTTTTTGTGGTTGTCTCACTCTCATTGTATGGATATTGCGGTGCGTACTGGTTTGGCTAACCTTGATCACATTCGAATCATCCACAGGGAAAGGTTCTGGAGATTTGTAGGGTTTTTTTCTTAATTGTGTTTCGTGTCTAAACAGAGAGTTTTATTTCAGTGTAACAATGGATGAGACAAGTCTGCATAACATCTTTACACTGGAATGTTTCGCATGAGTCATTTCACAAACGGATACTAATAATTGTCTGATAACAAACGATTTGTTCAACTCTATGATTCAAAATTACATGAAGCAAAAGCGGTGATATATCAGATTAACTATGATTTTTATATTGGAACCTTTTGATGTTAATTGTGTACAGTGATCAACTGAATTTCCAAACTTAAATTAATGCAAAAGTATCAACGATGTTTTTATCACTTGACTGCAAAATTATTGAACGTGGTGCATTGTTTTGAACATAATTCACTTGATAGGATTTTTTTGAATCTAGATTGGCGGAAGGTCACAAAGGACATGAAAAGATGTTGACACAAATTTACCTCATTCAAAAAGAATTGGAGTGTTTTGCAGTAAAATTTGATGTTTTAAAATAAGCAGGCACACCATATGCTTGGTATGAAAATAAAATTGCACGAATTGAAACCGTCTCTTGTATTTCAGGCAGTATGTTGTTTCCAATGTCTTTTAAATAGACGAATTAAAATTCTAGCAGTATTTCACCAAAAATAACTTTTAAAAAAGGGTTGGAATTAATTGAAATAATGTTACCTTGACAAGGTGTTAGGTTGTTTTTGTGGATACGAAACTTATAATCAACTGTCAAGAAGTGTATAAATATGAATATTTAAAATTAAAGAGGTATCATCAAAAAAAATCATAGTTTTTTTATATTTCAATAACTTTGTTTGTTATAAAAAAATCATAGTTTTTTTATATTCCACAAATTGATACACGTGGATGCATCTTTAGACGAAAATTTCTATAAGGCCAGTATTTGCTTGACACGTCAAAATTAAACATGTTTAGGACTTAGAAGATTCAACAATGCTTTATATGGTAATTTATGCTTCAGAAACCAATCCAGAGTATTAAAACTCAAGGCATTGATATTTTGGACGACAAATGAATCATAGGATAAGATTGATCAGCTATTTTCAAAAATAAAATCAAAGGTTCAGCAACTTGTTCAGAAACTTCTTCCCATCACCATCATCGAAATTGCTCTCGAGATGATCAACCAAACAAAACCATTTTACAGCTGTTGTTACCATGCAACCTTTCGATTGCTTGATCCCAGGGAATTAAAACAGTTAAAAAATTCCTAAGAGAGTACAGCGAAGTTTACTCTTGCAGAAGACTTTCACCAAGATTGCACCTTACAGTCTTTGCAAACCCATATGAAAATTCGGTGGAAAACATACATACATATGCATATATATATATATCATTGTTGATAACTATGCTCATCCTGAACCATTTGGAAGAGAAATGTATTTAAGAGACACTAGGATCACCATATGCAAGAGAATAAACAACTGAAATGTCGAATTGTTCCCCATGCTTTAGAGGAAGAAAAGTCAAGGCTTCGGAGGGATAGCCCATGTCGCGACAGCCTTGTCAATTGCCAAAGCTGGGCCATGGTTGTCTTGGTGCCCACTAATCTTGTCACTTTGTAGCGGCAACAGTGAGAAAAGCCAACACCGCTCACGACCCTACAGGCACCCCAATGAGCCACCGCTACCTCCGCTGATGTCATGGCAGCCTGGTGAGCACGCCATCTATAGAAGGGCGTGGTCATGGTGATCTACCATGTCGGTGTGCTGCAAACTAGGGAGACGAAACCTCCTCAGCCTCGCCACCAGTATAATCTGAGGTCGGTTCAGGCTTTCAGAGTAGCATCATCCTCGCTGCTACGTCCCTCCGCGGGTCTTTGCTTTGCTGGATCCATCAGCGATTGGGTCCGAGACTGACTCCGTGTGGAGATCATGTTAGGAGCAGGATTGTGCTGGTGATTCTGATTTCCTCTTTGATCTTGTCCTCTCATCAATCGATATCGCAAGGCTGCAATAGCTGAATGCATCGCATCCCTTGAGAGGAGACATCTCGGTCGGCTGGTTTCTTGCTTCCCGAGAGGAGGCCCTGTTATGATGGGAGTTGTGTGGTTTCCGAAGGATACGACAGTCTCTGACTTCTCGCATGATGAGCCAGTTTAGTAGTACTGCGGTGTTCAAGAGCGGTAGCACTTGCTTGTGAGCTAGTATTCCTCGTGAGCTCTGCACGCGCTTGACATGCGAGAAGTCAGAGACAGTCACTTGCTTAGGTAACTTGCTCTATCTTCGCTATGACGTAGATTCTAAACTGCCAAAATCTGGATCAGCTGATCAGCAAGTGAATGATGCTCCCCGAAATGGAACTGTAACGCGTTTGTTGTAGGTAGCTGGTCAGTCCGAGGTTGTTTGAGTGTTTATTTAATTTTGTTTTTAATTCATATATATATATATTATTTTTCTGAAACATCACCTGTTGTCACCTTGATGAGCATCCACGAATAGATTTATGCGTTCATGTAGGATTATGACATAAATCGAGCATGAGCACTAAGCAGTGGCCGAATTACTTGTTTGGAGAAGTGAATTTCAGAACCAATAGGTCCTTGGGTCCCTTTTTTCCTGATACACGATATTTGGCTTGTCTTGCGGCATCTTAGGAATACTCATTGCAGTGTGCATCATGTGAATATGACGTGGTTTTTCGGTGGCGGCTGTTCTGAGGTGCTTGTGTAAACTGGTTCAACTTGCTGAATATGATGGCAACCACAGCGTGTTCGTGCTTATTCTATATTGTTACGGGGACACACAACTAGAGTTCATTGCAGGGAGAGATATGCCGCTACACTCTGAGAAAAACTGATGTTCATCGGAGAGATTGTCCTAGCTGTGTTGAATTTGTTGACAGGGTGATGCGTTCAATTGTGTTGATATCTTTTACCAATTCAGCTCCCAATTAGGCGACCACATGCTCCATACGGCTGGTGAAGGTAATAGATTCATGAGCTGTTTTTCTATGTTTGAGTCAGAAATTAGGTATGCTTAACTGAGCATTTGGACTAACGTAGATCATACGGATTCAATTGATGAAGAAACTTGATGTGCATACACCAACATTTCCTGGATGATATTTCTCTTTTCTGCGAGGATTGCATTCCATGTAGTCTTTTCCCTTCAGATGGGCTTGGTAGGTGGCATCAACTGATACTTTAACGAAATTAATCTTCTTTCAGGAGGACAACATAATCAAATCTTTCCCTACAAGACTTGTGGATGCTTTTCATTCGCAACGCACTCCTTTATTTTCAGTGACAAAGCTGCCCGTGAAAGAATCCGTGGGTAAGATCAGTTCCATCCATGGCTAACCAATTATATTCCTGACATCGTCCTTGAACAGGGAACTATTCGTGCCAGAAGATGACGGTGTATGGGTTATTTATCTTCACTACAATAGCTATTTCATCCTGCCAAAGATAAATCGAAAAAAATAGATTCTTTTTATAGACAATACATAGATAATGTGTACACTCCACAAACTATCTATGAAAAGACTATTTATTCTCGAAACAGGATGAGCTATCCCAGTTTAGGTATATCCTTAAATTCACATTTATCTTAGTCATGAAATAAGATATTCTATTCAATTGACAATGCATGCAATAGATCTGACCCAGGTTCGATCACTACTTCCCAGTGCTTGCTAGCTTGGTTTCTAAATTGTGTACATTGCGCCGCAACATTTGGCTTTAAATAAAAGCGTCGGCCTTGGACGAAACATTCCACCATCGTCACATGTCCCTTATGTGCAATTAGTTTTCAACAACTGTTCACTGCTTCCAGCGAGTAAGATTCCCCAGCAATATTATTCTTTTCTTTCACCTAAAGATTTCGGAATTGCCTACAGGAAAAATGGTTGCTCCGATGCATTATCCGAAACAGAACATCAAAATATCTTAAAGAATCTAAGGTCCTCTACAATACACTTAGAGCACTGTGTAAAATGCATTCATCCGCATGACAGATGATATGTAAAATATTTCAACAGAAAGAAGATGCCAAGGCAGTGGGGAGTTGTAAGTTGTTAAATCCGACAATTAAACGAAAATGAATGCGTCGAGAGGATTGTGAAATAACTATGCATACTCTATTAGACTATGTCAAGAAAAAATGTTCCATTATTTGTTCTTGACTAAGTCGTCTAATCCGCTCCTCTGGGACAAGATAAGGAATCTGAGCAGAAAGAGCCAATGCAGATACATGGCTGTGGAGTGATCCCAGTCTTGCACCGTTGCTGCACAAAAGCGGTGTAAGAACGCCATTGGATGAAGTTATCGGTAGACCAGAGACCTTGTCTGAGAGGCGTATTGTAATATTAATTTAAGATAGTTCGATTGTCTTGAGGAGGTAGCCAGGTTGATTAGGTACATTCGTTTCAAATACAAGATTTTTTTCAATTAATAGAAACAGCACCCATGCATCAATTAATAGAAACAGCAAATCAGTAATTCCTTTAATTATGCAAAGGAATTTTGTATAAAATGCCCAAACTAAAAGCACAGGATGTAAGGGCATTTCTAGATGTTTTAAGAAGCTTTATGTATAATGTTGATTTTCAACATAAGATTTTTGAAGACTAAGTTGACAAAGACAAAGACAAGATGAAGTTTATGAAGATATAGATGTTCATTCATATAAGAAAGTAAGAGCTTTGAAGACTAAGTTGAAAAAGATAAAAACAAGATAAAATTCATAAAGATATGGTTGTTTTCAACATAAGAGCTTTGAAGTCTAGGTTGAAGAAAGACAAGACAAAATTGATAAATATATTGAAGATATATTTAAGGTTAAATTATTTGATCTCAACTTTGACAAAATTAAGTATAGGATAGTCTTATATAGAAACATAAAAAGAATATCCTATGATTCTTAAGGTGTGAAAATTAAGATATTCAAATATACATTAAAAAATAAAAAAAGCGACTAGAGCTCCAATCTTCTTATATGGCCAATATGTCTTATATACCTTATATATATATACTTTTTAATAGAATTAATATGTAAAAAAAAATAAAAAATAAAATAAGATGTTAAGAGAAGTGATTTATTGATGATAAGTGATTTTGATATAAAAAAATTGTTGGTAGTGGTTTAAAATTATGGGATGTAATATAGTGGGATTTAGGATTCATGAGGTGTTTAGAGGATTATATCAACACCTTTCTCTCCTTTCCTCCTCTTTCAACTTAACATCTCTTTGTATTAGCAAATAGTGCATATTATGCCCAAATGCTATATCAATTAGCAAATATAGAGATTTTACAATGCCTTCAAAGAATTATAAAAGAACTATCAGTGGTGAGAATTTATTTTATATTTTACTTGTATAATTTAGTTTTGATGGTAATTAGAAAATTGATAAATGTCCTTTGATGTAGGTGGAGCTGATTTCGCTCATCATATAGCTTATATTTGTCATCCTTCACAAGATTTGTTAAGCAATGATCCTTAGTGCCTTCTCTTATCTTATAGATTTCATGTGACATTGTGAATCAAAGAACATCTTCTATCTTGTTGATTCCATACAGTATTGTAAAATAAGAAACAATGTTATAAAATATTCATACAATCATGAGGGCTTAATTGAAGCACTATTAGTGTAGTATTATATTCCTTTGTCTTTGATTGAAGTGAATTCTTCATCTAACTAAGATCATTTGCAATCAATTGATGTGTCTACATTACAAGAGAATTTGAATAGCTCTAATTTTATGTTGTAGAAGAATTCAAATAATATCAATTTTATATCAATAATTTCATTGCTTAGAATACAAAAAAAGTTTTACGTAGTTCAAAAAGATTGGTTTCCAAGGATATATTTTATTTGAAAGGATTGTATTCTCAAAGAATTTAGGTACATTGAAGTAAAATTCTAGCTTTTCAAGACTTTGGCTAAGATAGAATTATTTTTGGAGCTAAGTGAGATAGTTTTAGAATTAATCATGGGAGTTGTTTTTTTTTTTTTTTTTTTTTTTTTTTTTTTTTTTAAAAACTAAATTTTGGATTATATGTTGGAAAGACTTTAAGTACCATAGTTTTTTAAGACCAGAAATTTTTTAAGAAATATAGTGTAAATAAAACAAAATATTATTGTATAGCTAAAAATTTAGTATAAAATAGAATGTGTAATTCTAAAATACATAATAAAATCCATTGAATTCTTATAGGAAGCACATTCTTTGAAACCTAAAGCCACCTCAAAATATTACATCTCAAGTACCTCCAACACTTTGCATTTGAGACCATTTCAACATATTATACTTGAAGCCACCTCAACACCTTAAATCCAAGACCACTCTAAAACCTAATATCCAAGTACCATAATAAAGGCCATCTTACAACCTCACACTTATTTCTCTTGTATTCCTATCTATTTTAATAATATTATTCACCTCTCTCCATGTGAATCTCGTACTCTAGAATTTGGGCTAGTACATCAGATTTTAGAATTGATAATAGTGCAATCTCACAGTACAAATCATAAAATTTAAAACATAAATTAATAAATATAATTATAAAATTATAAACCAATATTTTATTCATATGATTTCTTCACAAGAGCTACGATCTATTTAATTTCTTGAATATTTTTTTCTTAAATTAATTAAAACTAAACAAGATCAAAAAACTTTTTTTTTTTTTTTTTTTATTGTGTTTCAAATCAATTCTTTTTCTTCCTATTCTATAATTAGTTTCACTTATTCAAATTTCATCTTATTTCTTTTCACCATCTCTTTTATTTTCGATTTTTTTTATAACCTAGCTTAACCTCTCTCACTTTCTTCTTTAAGTAAAGCTAAGCACTTTGTCATTATGGCAGTTTTTTTATTGTGATGACTCTATAAATACATTGATTATTATGTAGCATTTCTTCAAAAAAATTTCTTTTGACTTTAAAACTTGTGATGGATGATTCTTTTTTTTGAAGTAATGGTGGTAGTATTACAAAGCAATGGACATTGTATAAAAAGCAATGGTGGTAAAATAGATAGAAATAGGGTAGCATAAATATATATATTTATTCAAATAATTATCTATATAATTAAATAGAAGTAATTAAAAGTAGATTAATTTCATAATATCTCTTAGAAAAGTTTTTCAAAAGTTTTATTGATGCTACTATGACTTTGTATGTATTTGTAGTTAATTGGTAGGCTAGAAACTTAGTCAACAAGTTAGTCATGTAATACATGTGTTAGTAGCTTGTACAATAAGCTAATTATGTAGTACATATATATATATATATATATATATATATATATATATATATATAACTTATCTTATAAGTTAAGACATGTGTCTAAGAAAATCAATACATATTGAAGGTCCTATAGAATATTGCTAGGTCACTTTTAGCTAGAGAGTATATATAGAGACAAGAGTGAAACCTTCTACACTTTTGACAATGCATTTCAAATCTTTAGTCTTGTTTCAAAACTTTTTAGTATTCTTATCTTTGGCGATAGTCATTCAAGTTTAATATATTATCATCTTTGAGTGATTTCTTAGTCTTTTTAAGTGACATAAGAATGTACTGAAGCTATCTTTCTTCAAGATTTATATCCTTGATAATTTAGTAATATTATTAACTTATTATTTTTATCTTGTTTTAGAAGTGAAAGGATTATTTTACTTCTATTAATGTATTTTGAAGATTGGAGACTATCCACTTTTAAATAAATAGTTTAGTTTTTTAATACTGATTTTTTTTAAAGAAAATAGATTATTCTTCTTTAAAGAAATTTTTACTTAATATTAGAGGTTATAAATTATCTTCTTCTAATTTAACTTTTTGAATTTATTTGAGTTATGTATAAAAGAAAAGAATATAGATGCTATTCTCAATAGAAGTGAGAATATATTTAATAGAAGAATATCAAAATTTTGAAGAATTTTACAATAAATTAAGCTCTATTTAAGGTTTCATCCTTTTCAGTATCCTCATGGATTTACATAAATTAGATTTATAAGCACACTTCTATTAAAAATTATTTTTTCTTGATTTGTAACTTTGATAGAAAAAAATTCACAACTATTCTATGATTTGAATTCATTCTTAGAAGTATTTTTGGCTACATTTGAAGAAAATGATTGAAAAAAGGTAGTAGAGACTAAGCTTATATTACTATAATAAAGATCACATTTAACAACCACATATGCTATTAAATTCTAAAATCTTACTTGTAATATAGATTAGAATGATAAAGCCTTCATCAATCAATTTTGATATAGATTAAAAGATAATATCAAAGATTTATTATTAATAATGTTGAGAGTAGATTTATTAAAGTAATTTATTATTCAAGCCATTGCATATATAAATTAATTCTTTGAAAGATGCTAAAAACAAAGATTTAGTTGGAAAAGTACAAGTAAGCCATGATGACATCTTTTAAGTTTTTAAAAACTTACTTCTCTAAACCAAAGCCTATGCAAATTAATATGATATGTTTTAAACCTCTTATTGAGCAAAAAAAGACTCATCATTATCAAAAATATTTTTATCTATATTACACAGAATCTAAGCACATTATTATTAGAGACATAGTCTTTAGAACCTTCTAGAGACAAGTTTTTAGAACCTTCTAGAAGCAAGTCTCTAGAACCTTCTAGAAGCTTCTTAGTTAGTAGAAGATGTTAGGGACATAGTCCTTAGAACCTTCTAGAGATAAGTTTCTAGAACCATCTAGAAAAAAGTCTCTAGAACCTTCTCGAAGCTTCCTAGTTGA